GGCATAAAAACATATGCAAACTGCTGACTCTAGTACTGAATAGGTTGTTCAAAATTCAGTATAATGACAGATGAGCAGATTTTTATGTGCATGAGTACATAAATTCCTTGTTTCAACAAAAGAAACAATTGAGAAAAAAATCTAGAACAACAGGTGGATTGTAAACAGACAGAGAACTCAGTGTAAGCAAGACAGGAAAAAAAGGACATGAGTATTATTTTAAGGAACAAGTTCTCAAGGTCCAGCTTTTCTCACCATGAAGGGAAATGTGGAAAATATTTAATTCATGGAGGTTTTGGTAGACACAGCAAGGAAAAAAAAAAGATAAATAATAGGCACAGCAAGAAACACTGAGACACACAACAGCCACTTTTTTTCCGTAGCTTTTGCACTGGATCCTTTTTGTTAGATGCGGTCCAGCATGAACTTAAAGATATTTAAGATGTTCTGCCAAACGACCTTTAAACATCTCTCCCACACTTTTGCACTTTTTTCTCTCCTTAAAAGAAATGAAAGCTTTCAAAAGCTGCTGTGATGCAATTTTTCACCATGTATTTATCACCATCACTAGAACTCTGGAATTATCAACTAAAATTTGATAACTAAGACTTTGCTTTGGTAATTTCCAGATTACAGGAACATCCTCGATAGCATTCAGGCAGATATGCCAGAGTTAATTGTGGCATTCAAGTGTTTGAAATAATGCAGTTTAATGTTCACAAGGAAGAACCAAGGCATTGTTTCTAAGGCTGTCTCCTCATTTTGTATTGATTGCAACAAAAAGAACTCTTTGCCAACATTCAGTATTCAGTATCCTCTCAGATTTCTAAGTGTTTTAAATAGACCCCACACTGTCACCACCCAACCTACCATTATAATAGGCATGAGAGATGAATTATGGTTTCAAAAGCTGAGTGAATGTAACCATAATCAGAAACACCAGCAAAAATCATGCAGACCATATTAAAACATTCACACTTCTTGATCTAATCATACAAGTGGTATTCATCATTTTGCACCTTGCTATCAAGAGGAAATATGCACTCACAGCCCAGAAAACCAACCTGGTCTGCACCAAGAGCAGCATGGCCAGGAGGCGATTCTGCCCCTCCACTCTGCCCTTGAGTCCCCACCCGGACTTCCAGCACAGGAAGGATGAAGACCTGTTGGAGCGAGACTAGAGGAAAGCCACCAAGGTTATCAGAGGGCTGGAGTACCTCTCCTGTGAAGTCAGGCTGAGAGATGGGGTTGTTCAGCCTGGATAAGGGAAGGCTCTGGGGAGACCTCAGTATGGTCTTCCAGTACCTGAAGGGGTCTTATAAGAGAGGTGGAGAGGGACTTTTCCCAAGAACATATAGTGACTGGGACATATAGCACAAAGGGGACTGTTTTCAAACTGAAAGAGGACAGGTTTAGATTAGCTATTAGGAAGAAATCGTTTACTGCATGGGAGGTGAGGCACTGGCACAGGTTGCCCAGAGGAGCTGAGGATTCCCCATCCCTGGAAGTGTTCAAGGCCAGGTTGGATGGAGCTTTGGTCTAGAGCAAAGTGTCTCTGTCAATGGCAGGGTTGAAACTAGGTGCTCTTTAAGGTCCTTCCAACCCAAACCATTTTATGATTCTGTGGTTCAATACTGTCCGTAAAATTCAATTACTAGGAACTCTGATGTTATGACTATGACATATTACTAAATATATAATTTACAACAAGCAATCTTACCTGGCTCTAGTCACCTCCACTCAAAAAACCAAGATCTTCCAAACCAACCGAACATGCAGTATCTTCCAGCAAGGATCAATGACATTTTTTTACATTTAAGACCACACAGTTGTTTAGGTGTCTCCAGAGAATGATGACCTCTCCTTTTGTCTTAGAGGTCAGCAGTCAAAACTAGCTTGTCTCAGCAATGAGTGAATGCTGTTACCTTCATGAAAGTATTTAGTTCTTTATATAATGTATTATAAAGTTGTGTTGCATTCTAAGCTTTTTATGCCAAAATTTTATTGCAGTATATGGAGTGCACTGTATATGGATAATGTTAGCACATTTTAAAAAAATGGAATACTTACTTTTAGATATGTCCTACATAAAAGAATAAATAGTAAACTCAGAAAAACAAGCATGGACTGTTTTTGAAGAAAGATAGTTTTAAAACGAAAGAATCCAGGGAGTAAATGTGTGAGTGTCCAAGGCAATAACAAAACATACTAGGATTCTAGAACTGGTTGAAAACCACACACAAAAAAGTACAAGGAAGTTATTTATTGTAATAGAGAAGTGACATCAGATTCTCATCTGTGTTTAAAATAGTACCAGGTTTTCTTTCCTGCAGAGTTGTGCTCTAGGGAAGATTACTGTTATCTATGAAATTACACCAGTAATCTTGTCATTATCATTCCAAAAGTTAACTTTGCTTTGGAGAAAGGATTTTTGTTTCGATTTAAGCCTTATTTGCATACTGATTGCTAGCCAGGTTTTATATAAACATGGCTGGTTTGGATATGTCTACACTGTCTTCCAGATACAAACCCAAACCTGCACTCAAGTCGAAGCTCATCCATGCCTGAAGTCCAGGGACTTGGGGCAAAATTTGACCATTGCTGATAGGGCAAGCAATCACACACCACTGTTTAGTGTGATCCCAAGCACATTGCTGCCTGCTTTCTGACAGTAAAATTGCTATCTCAGACATAATTGTGGAAAACCGTGTATGTTTTCAATAAGCCATTTTTTTTGTGCCTGTAGTCCATATTCTGATAGTATTCTACAGACAGCATTTTCCCCTCTAGGTCTATGAAGGAAGAATAGTGATAAAGAAAAAAAATCCGCTATATACACTTAGCATTAGGGAGATGATGTTCACATATCTCATTTTCTCCAATAAGAACTGCAACTGATGCATGTATTTTTGCATTCAGTTAATATTCATATGCACACACATAAAAACCGACAAAAGATATTGCAGACAGATAACACCAAGAGAGCAAGAAACAAATGTGCAGTTTATAAACATTCTCTAGCTTCTGTTGTAAGAGTGAACAAGTAGCAAACACTGCACAAAGGTCTTATCTGAATAATAGACATAAAAGAGCTACTTGATAGCCCTGCTGTTCTCAGTAGAAATCTTCTGGAAAAATGCTTGCTCAGTTTCCAGAGAAATTCAGTCCTTTTATGAGAGATCTCACATTTGTACTTTGCTTCCTTTTTTTTAAAAGACCTGAAGTTTAATTTTTTTGAACTACAGAGAATGCCTGTTTAGGGCTAAATGTGGACAGTCATACTGTGAATCAGATAAGCTGCATACTTGGCAGAAAAAGAATTGCAAAGTGTGATGCTTCCGGATTCAGTTGACTTCAAGTTGTCATTACAAGATCCTGTCTCTTTTGAAATACTTCTCTTCTGAAAATCTCCAAGTGTGGATTTCTTTTGTGTTGCACAATGTTAGGCAGTATATGTTCAGGAAAATATAGATAATAAAAATGCACCAAAAGTACATGAAAAGAGATTCAATTTTTTTTTAAAAAAAAAGGGTGAGGTTGAAAGGTCATGTCATTGTCTAACCCCAGCCAGGAACTCAGCTCACTCATTCCCCCCCCACAGCAGAAGGAGGGAGCGAATCAGAGGAGCAGAAGTGAGAAAACTCATGGCTGAAGATAAAGACAGTTTAATAGAGAAAGCAAAAGCCACACATACAAGCAAAGCAAAACAAGGTTTTATTCATCACTTTCCATTGGCAAGCAGGTGTTCAGCCATCCCTAGGACAGGAGGGCTTCATCGTGCATAATGTTTACTTGGTTAGACAAATGCCATCACTCCTCATTCCTCCTTCTTCTCCAGCTTAGATGCTCAACATGATGCCATACGCAATGCAATATCCCTGTGGTCAGTTGGAGTCAGCTGTCCTGCCTGTGTCCCCTCCCTTCTTGTGCAACTCCCAGCCTCCTCACTGGTTGGGTGGGTTAAGGCGGAAGAGGCCTTAACACTGTGTAAACACTGCTCAGCAGTAACTATAACATCCCTGTATGATCAACACAGTTTTCAGCAAATACAAAACACAGGCTACTTTGAAGAAAATTAACTTTATCCCAGTCAAAACTTGCACAAGTCATCACTCAGTCTGTTAGTGAGATTAAGTGTTGTATGGACCATATTATATTCCTTGTTACAATCCCATCTAGAGATGCATTCCTTGCAAGGTTCTGTGTTTCTCCAGTAATAACACCGATATTGCTTCTACCCAAGATGTCACAGAGCATGCTTTGAAGGTCTGCTAAATAGCGCAACGGTTTTCATGGGTAATGAATGGGCAATTTTTTTCCTACTAGGAATGAAAGATGCAATTCGTGGAGTTTCGGTGGGCAGAAAAACTTCTGCAGCACACAACAGCTGGAAAAATTAGTGCACTGTCATGAGAACTGCCTAAGAACTGTTTTCTCTTTCACTGCTCAAGGATGAAGCTGCAGAGAAGCTATACAAATAGTGATGAATTATGCTGTACTGATACACTGGGATGTATCAGATGATACAGGAAGCTTGTCAATGCCCACATAAAATCATAGAATAGGTTGGGTTGTAAGAGACCTGTAAAAGGACATCTAGTCCAAAACCCCTTATCAAGATTAAATAAAACAGTGACTAACAAAGGTGTGTGAAAAGAAAATCATGTATTTTCTAACCACTCTAGTCACAAACTTCTAACAGTGCCTTCTGCAACCCAGATTTATTCTCTTATTTTCCTACTACTAAGTTCAATTAACTTACTGCATGGAATTCATGGTCTCTGTGTGAAGTAAAAACTATTTAATGATTACTTTAAAAAATGTAATTAACACATGCACTGCCCCTGGCTTGATGCATTTTAATAGTGAAGCTGAGAGAAGAAAAAGCCTTGATGTAATTTAGAATTAATAAGCTTTGTTTTTATAACTTTATAAGTAGCTTGAAATAATTTTATGAAACTTTCAAGTATGTTTAAAAGAAGTACATACCAATAAGAAACTGTACCTGAAATTTTATTTCCAGTTTGAAAATTCCAGGACAGTTCAAATGTGGAGTGAGCACACCACTTTTACAGCAAAGCTGGACAGCATTTATCTGTAAACCTAGAAAAGACACATCTGTAAGAAGCTTCACCTTGAAAAAAAGTGGTTTTCCAGTAGATTCAGGAGATCTGTTTATCAAGCCCTAGAGATCTAAAAACAAGCAAAAACCTTTCAGAAGTCCTAGAGAATAATGAAAGTGTTGAACAGCAGTTTTTCAGGTCACTCATACTTGGAATCTAATTTCCAACATTACAATGCCAATGTGTAAAAGTGCCCAAACATTTGTTTCCATCAAAATGACTGTTCACACAGCTGTCTGCAGTCTCCCACACTCACCTGCAATCTGCACTGTGTGCTAGAGACTGAAACTCAAATTCTTCCCAAGCCAAGTCCGAATATGCTGTCTGTACAAAGGGCATGGTTTGGTTTCTCTTGAAAGAAAGAGTAATAAAGGTCAGCAGGGAATGCTTCTGATTTCTTCAGTGCACCCCAAGTAGTCTTTTCTAACTACTCAGCTTTATTCTGAGAATCAAAAAGAACCTGGAACAGGGCAGAAAAAGCTAGAGAACAGTCAACTGTAAACTTTTTCCTGGGTTATCTCAGGTGAGCCACTTTGTGACTCACTGGACTTAGGACTACCCACAGGGCTGATGTAAGGACAAACACATTAAATGTTGTCAAGCATGGGAATAGGGTCCACGTGGAGAGATTCCATTTCCCTGTGACAGACTTGTTGCAAATACTATGACTGTGTGTCTAGTCTGACTGTGTGTCTAGTCTGAGGAATATAAGTAAACTTAATAAGAATGACCCAACATTCTCACAGTAGACTGTTTTGCATTTTTATCTGACACCTAATTTTCCATTAAATAATTATGCAACCCTTAGCAATATGTTTTCTTAAGTCTTATTACTGTCAGGTGTAATTTATTATTCTTCTTATCTGAGTTATTTAAAAACCAAACAAAATTATTTTTTTCTTCTAAAAAACTGTCTTAGTGGTACTAATTCTAATTTGTGGCTGAATTAATAAAAATCCAATAATTACAACAAACTAATTCTTACACTAGAAATGGAAATTCTACAGTACATTTTGCAGATGGTTCCAGTAACTCTCACAACCAGAAAAATGTAAAACATGCTACAGGGGAAGCTGAACAATGAAGAACAAAAAGATGCTTTATTTTTTTTCCTGGCATTTGTGAGGTTTACAAAACCTGAAATAAATTTCACAGATCAGCCACGATAAGTTGATCTCAGTTATTGTGAAAAAAATTTTACATTACATCTATAGATCTTTCACTGCTGATTGTGCACATTCTTCTCTTCATGAATAATTTTTTATTAATTGTTGTACTGCAAGGTAAAAATTAATTAGGAAACGTTATATTTCCATAATCCTCCCACAGCTTTCTGAGCACAGAAGTATTTGGAAATATATTAACAATTGCTGAATGAGACCTAAAATTAAAAACTACTTATGACTATTCTTTTTCACTGTGAAACTCAAATTCTACACACTAATATATTTTAGGCTACTTTCACTTAAAAATATATGTAAGTGTTTTGTCTTTGGAAATATTGTCCGAGTTGTAATATAATGGAAACGCCTTGCAGAGCAAATCTGCTGTTAAAAAGTCACAACCAGAAGTTCATTTTTGAACTCTTCTGGTGTGACATAAGCTCAGCTGAAAAAGCCATTTTAACTGTATTATTACCAGTGTCAAATAAAATTTATGTTTTAATTGGACTAAAATGATACATGAGATGACTGTCCCACAGCCCAACAGCTTCTCTCACACAGATCTCATTGGATACTTCTAATGAAGTAGTTTACAGCTCTGAATGAAAATTATTCCCATGCAGAAGTAAGGCATGTATATTGCTTTAAGCATCAGAGAAACTGTAGCATTATGATGCATATTCAGCCTGAAAAAGCAAACGAGGGAAACCAGTTTTTTACAAATAAGTATTCCACAAATTCCACATGCAAAGCCTAACTCCTTATAATCATCCTTATTGTAGCAGACAAGTAATTTCCTTTATTAGAGTTCTGATAGCTTTCCTTCCTTTGTCTGAACTCTGTTTGCTACCTGATGTTTCCATTTCTCTGAACAAAATATTTGCAGACTGGAAAACAGCTCTTCCATACGCAGAGAACTAAAAATGTTTGCAGATTGTTTTGTGTTAAAATAGTGTTTTCCTTCACACATGAAGACAAATATCTAAGACCACCTCTCTCTGGACCAACATGCTTTTTTAAAATTAAAGTACTAAGCTATTCAGTTCTGAGTATGCATCATTTCAGAGAGTATTTAAATAGTTCTATGTCTGTTACATAAATGTTGCATTTGAATTATCACTTTGGTAAACCTTGAAATTGAATTTTCTCTTCAGAAAATTTCTTCAAGAATTTTCTCTTCTCTATAGGAACAGTATGGTACAATAAACATGGATATATTCCTGTAACGTGGAGATTCCAGGATACATTTGGTTGTGCTGTCTTAGATGGTGTGGTTCTTCCAACATGTATATGGATTGTTAAATTTTAGGAGAGTGAATACTCACATTCATTCAAAATCTCTACTGTTAGGTACTCCCAATGCACATGGAGTGAGGTCTCTGCCTCTGCACTAATGAGGACAGGGACATATTTTACCTGCGTTCTGCAAAGTTTTGATGTGATCAAAGTTCCTCGCACTTCAGTTGTGCAGTTTCGGCTGATGACTCTGCAGTCAGTAAAAGTGCTGAAGATTGTCTCATGGCTTTTGCAATCCTTTTTCTTCATATTTCTGCTCCCTTACTGGTGGCAGAAGTCTTGTCATCAGAAAAAAAACCTCTTAGCTTTCATTTAAGAGAGAAAAGAATTAAATAGCAAAAGACTAATAAAAACTGTTTAAAATCTCACAATTTTGGAATTACAAATAATGCTTTTAGTTACATAGCTTTCCCCCCTTTCTTTCATTGAACCCTATTTTTTTCTTTCAAAAATAATATATAAAGGAAAAACAGTGATGAAAGTAAAAGGATGCTGTCAGAGTTTCTAAAGTTTACTGAAGCTGCCTCATAAACAAATGGAGTGGTGTTTAACTTGAACGACCTCCCTCCACCAGGAATATAATCAATAAGGCTTAGGCCACTTTGCTTGTTACTTATTTTATGCTGCCTTATCTTCAGGTCTTATCTTCAAAATTACTAACATATTTCATATTTCCAAATTACAAAAAAAAATAAATTTGGAGAAACTATGTTTCTGCCAACTACCAGCAGGGAGGAACCCCAGAAAACAAACAAACGAACAAAAAACCAAACCTACAAAACCCCACAGTCCAGGAAACCCATAAAAAAGGTAATTTGGATAAGACGAAGTTTACACTCTGCCACCATACCCACAAAAAACACAGAAAAGCATTCACACATTAATTACTCCAAGAAGCCCAATTTCAATGACGTAAGCAAGGCCTGGTTCACCAGACAACTTAGTGCTCCTGCTTATTGCTGATCATTGAGCAGGTACTGCAGCAGAATGGAGTATACCATCTTATATAGTTCACTGTATAAAAGGGTTCTCATGATTTTTTTATTGTTGCCACAGAAGAGAAGCTATTTTCAAAAGTTTGAAAGGAAGATGAAGAATTCATAAAAAAGACTTATCAAAGGGGATATTTTTGCTGATATTAAAGCAGTAGGTAAGACTGCATGCCCTCAGCATAATTACAATTAGAGTAATTGTTCTCAAATTGTATTCAGATTTAGAGTAATTGTTTTCAAATTGTATTCAAATCAGAGGCTGGCTTATTTTTTGCAGCTACCTTACTGTAATGAAAGATACTCCTCCCTTGAAGTCTGCTCCTGTTTGAGACATTTAAAATATCTTCTGCATATTTTGAAGCAACAGCTTGCAAAGCAAACCTTCTGATGAGGTGGTATGCATTCTTATCATGCTGAACTTTATTTTTATGCTTAACTAACAGATTGTAGACAATTTTTTAGTTGTCCATACATAAGGTTTCGATTTAAATTGTATTTTCAACAAAAGACTGGTTTTTTACATTATATTTTCCATTTTTAAAATGTCATTTTTGTTCAGACATCAGAAAGCGGGGGCTGGTGGCAGAAAGAACTCTGTCCAAAAAATCTTGCTTGGCTGAATTTTTGAATGCTAGTTCCTTATGATGTTGTGTTTGCCATGTGAACAAAGCCTTTTCTGAGCGGAGTCATACTGCATAATCTGCAAACCTGCACAGTAACAGTTGATGATTTTATATGATCAATATCAACAAGCTCAGTAATTCATACTGGCAGCAACATAAGATCTTCAAAATATATCTTCCTAAAGCATTACAGCTCCAGTTTTTGTTTCATATACAACATTAAACATTTGATAAATGGCAGAATTCTCAATAGAGATTACATGCTTAATCTTGCAAACTGCCTTTGAGAAGGTAGCAGGAGATACTTGGATTTACAGCCACTCAGCAGGATGCAGACTCAGTGCAGAGTAAGTAATTGCAGAGTATGAGGATTGCATAATCTGGCCTATAGTTTTAAATCCAGCCAAGAGGTACACTTAGTTAAATCCTTTAAGAACAAGCAAAAAATAAATGTTTGGAGAAGAAAATAAAATTCTGGTTTGTAGTCTTGTACAGGCATTTAGTATAGTTCCTTGGCTTTCAGAAACACATGCATTCTGCATTGGTTTTTAAAATTTTATTATAATCTGTTACTGCAGAATGGGGAACCCGTGGAGGTGTTTGTTGCATAACATCTCTTGTGGCATATCTGTTTGATAGTGGTCCACAGATTAGTAATGTTATCTCTTGGCCTTGCAAAATTACCTCCTGGACACCTTGCAAGACTTATTTCTGAAGTAATTCTAAATTGTGACTCCTCTTTACCACTATTTGTTTTCCTGCTTTTACAATTAAAAATTTCATACCCATAAAAAAAGTCTCCTCATTGAAGTCCTTTAATGTTGGAAAAATCTACCTAGAACCTAGTAAGTCTTGATGATTCAGCTTCAGATATTGAAAGTTGTTAAACACCATCTGTGAAATGTATCTAAACTTCCACCTCAAAAGGTTTTCAGGCTCTTTTGACTGTTTGCTTCTTTTTCTCAGTTCTTCTTACATACATTTTAATTATCTTTTCAGAATTTGAGTGGCTTTTATAACAGGTAAACCTCCAGATAAGGAAACTGCTGGATCGTGTATGACCTTTGGTTATTTAATTGTTTTAGTTATTAACAGTGAATACTAAAGACTAAGCTTTGAGAACACAAAACTTTGTTGTTAGTGAAAAGGGGCTGTAAAAGTACAAATTACCATCCAGATTTTTCCTCTGCATATCACATCAATTTTCAGAGTTTCATTTACTTTCGTTTCGTTTTCGTTATGAAAAATTTTGGCAAAGACCTTCCAGCTGAATAAACCAGCAATTTCCCAGTATCAGAAGTTTTATTAAATATAAGTTTTCTTATAAGCCAGAGTATGGTTCAATATACAAGTTCTTATTCCAAAACAACTGTTACAACTGCCAATTACCTTGTGAGAATAAGTCAAAGTTTCTCTGTGGAAGCGAGAGAAAAGAATTAGCTCAAGAGAGAAGAGGAAAATATGCTAGATGTTAATAAGTGAAGCAGATTAGTCTTAGTATGTACAATCTAAATAGAGATATTTTTCCTGAAAATTCTAACTAATCACCGGTGTTTCCAAATGCAAAAAAATATGACAGCTGATTTTTTTTTTTAATATCCCCAGTAATCCACTTTACCATTATTATCACTAATTTTATAATTTCTGAAATCTCTCACTTTTAATGATCTACCAAAGCCAGCCAGAGTACTTCGGGAATAATCTAATACTAGCACATTATTATGGTATGGCAAACTCTGGAGCACTGAAACCCTTAAAGGGCTGCTTGGTTTGCTTGACTGGTTCCTCTAAATTCTGCTTCCTCTTTGCCTTTCTCCCTTCCATTGCTTTGTGGCTTCTGTATCTCGTACTATAAGTACAGAAAAAAACAGCTCCCTCAGGAGTAGTTTAATAATTGTTTCCCTCCAACTTAGCATTAAGTGTGGGATATACTATTTGCAGATAAGAAGCCCTGAAGAAGAGTTGAGATGTTATCGTGCGAAGGTATTCATCATATCTTCAGATTGCTCACCAAAAGATAACTCAGTAAGAAGGATAAAAGCCAGAGCCAGTCCTATACAGGACATGACATCAACTCATTAAAAACAAATTGTCTCCTTCAGAACCTCTACAGTTTCCACTGAGCAACTACAGCTAAAGTACTAGATTGGACTGCTCTAGCAGCTCCATTCACACCAGCTGGCAGTGTTTAGTAATAAATTTCTATACAGACTTGCCACTCACTAACGAGTCCATGCTGATTCTAGGTGGACAAAAACTCTCTCACCAAGAGGTGCTGCATACCAAACTGCTAAATCAGGTAAATCTAAGGTTTTCTTCCCACTCATTTCAGGGAGAGCTAACTGGAACTACAAATCAGTCCCTTCTTATCTAAAGGCAGTTGACAACTTCTCCTCTCCCTCTCCCTCTCCTTCCCCCCTCCCCTCTCTCCCCTCTCCTCTCCTTCCCCCTCCCTTCCACTATTCTTCCCCCTCCCTGAGATAAATCTCTTCAGGCCTAAGTGGTTCAAACAAAACAGCTTTCAAGTGCCAGCCATCTTTTTTCTCATTAAAAGCTGAAGATATCTACCATTCCTAAAAAGCTTTATCTGAATTGGATTCTTTCTCTGAATCCTATAATTCTGTGCAATTTTAGCAGACTGGAAGATTAACAAAACGCTGGGGGTTCAATTTCTCCTTACAGCACATTGCATCCTGAGTCCTCCTGTAACATACAGCAAGGGCTTACCAAAGCAATCCTGTTCCTAGTCTTTTGCTGTTAGTTGTATAAACTGGGAGTTTTTATGAATGAAAATTTTATTCTGAAAGACATTGTAGTGGTATTGAAGAATATGGAACGCAGCATGAACACGTACAGTGCTGGAAAATCGACGCATGGGGCATTTGTTCTACATAAACTCCTATAGCTCTGCCAGCATCAGAGCTAAGGTGATGTAAAGGCTTATTTGCAGTGACCTTTTTGCATCATTGATATAAAGCTTCTACACGGTTCAACCTATGCATTACTGAAGTAACCTTTTTCTTAACAAGAAGGAAGAAGTAGTAATTATCCCAAAGTTTCTCTTTTGGAGGATGCCACTTTGCCAGATTTCACATTGCACAATCAGAATTCAGTTATTTACCAAGGAACAATCAGAAATGCATGTATACACATATATGAGTGGGTTTACCATATAACTACATATAAATACAGAATAAAAGAGAGTAAGCCATAATCAAAGACCTGAGAAGCTTTTGCTAGAAATGCTGCTCCCTGGCCACTGTTCTACAAGCTAAGGGATTCAGAAAGAGAGATGTGAAAAAAACGCAACTCCCATACAATATAACCCAGCTGCCCTGAAGCCAAAGACCCTCGAAGCCGGGCTGTCCAGAAGATCACCAGCCAAAGGGGAGGGACAAGCTGGCTCTGCCCCAGGCAACCTTCTCCGGCCAAGCCGTGCCAGCACCGGCTGCCCCCGAGCACCGCTCCACCCACAGTGGTCCCGCAGCTGCGGCCCTTGGGGACAAAACTAGGACCTGCTCCAGCCTCCCTCCCGCCCCATAAGGCTCCCGGTGACCCCGGAGGGTCTCCTAGGAGGCTCAGGCGCAGGGCCCCGCTCCAATTAGCCACCCGTGCGCGTCCCCGCCCTTCCTCCGCCACATAAAGGGCGGCGAGCGGAGCG